ACCATGCTGGCGCCACTGGCCTTCACAGAACCCCAGCTCAGCAGCCACCTAACCCTGTAGGCACCTAAAGTGCCTGGGCACCTAAGTTTCTACTGTTAAAGTCCTCAAAGAACCTAAATTTTGGCAGCCAGGCATGCACACAGCTGCCTAAATTCTGGCAGTAGCTCAGCACATAACTCATGCCTAAGCCCCAGAGGGATTCACAGACTAAGGGGCTGTCGACACCTGAAATGCTACATCAGCATAGCTGTACCTCTGTAGTGCTTCAGTGTAGATACTACCAATGCTGACTGGAGGGGTTCTTCTGTTGGTGCAGGTAATTCACCTCCTCGGGAGGCAGTAGCTAGGTCAACGGAAAAATTCTTCTGTGGACATAGTGCTATCTGTCCTGGGGGTTAGGTCGGCTTAACTATACCTCGCAGGGGTGTGGATTTTTCTAGTGTAGACTCTAGCCTAAGTGCTCCCCCACTTATCTTACCTTGGGGACTGATCCAGTAGACATGCTCAGAGATAAACCCACACAAAAGATGCTGCCAATTCTACCAGAGGAGGTGATGCCTCCACTCCCTTTACAACCTGTAGCCCAGTGGTTAGGACACTCCCCTGGATAGCTTGTGGGAGACCTAGATTCCAGTCCTACTGCTCTAATGAATATCCAATCATTTATACACAGGGCACCAGCTCCTATAGGAGAGCTTGAGAGAACCCTGCCCTGGAATATTCTGTAGACCAGCGGCTAGAGCACACTGGTGGGAGACCCAGGTTCAAGTCCTCACTCCACATCAGGCAGAGTGGGGATTTGAACCCACATTTCCCACATCCAGGGTGAGTGCTCTAGTCCCTCAGATAAAGTTTATGGGGGGAGGGCATCTCCTTACTATTTCTCATGAAAAACCACTAACCTGACTTAAGCATCTAACTCCAGAAGACGATTCATGGCTGTGAATCCTGAGCAGAGGGAGCATGGAACTAGGCACCTAATTTCCTTTGGGGGCAGGAGCTTGGGCCACACCTCAGTCCTTGGTATTGCTGACTCATTAGTTTAGCTGCCTCCTTGCTCAGCCTGCTGCCAACTCTCCCCATCCATTGTATAGGGGCCTGGGCACCTAACTTGGCTGTGAATTCCAGTGAGTGACAGGGCATCTAAAAATTAGGCACAGGAACACTTTGCATTGCAGCTCCTAAATCCCCCCTGTGCATGCCACCTTGGGGGTGAGATTGCCTGTACCATAACCCTATAATTTACTTGGTGAACTCATCCTGGCCATCTTAGAGGCTTAGGAGGCTAACGGGATTTTGAAACACAAAAATTGTGACAGACAGGAGCTGGAATTGGAGTGGCAGAGGAACTTAGGACCTCCAAAACCAGAGGCTGTGTTTGTGAGCTGCTACTTGAGGAAGAGGGTCAAAGGGATATACTTTGAAAGACTGGGAGTCAGAGAGGGGGAAAAAGATAAATTACTCACAACAAAAGCACCTTTTATGTGGGTTTTTTCCCCTAAAATTCATTGTAACTAGACTTAAGGTGAACCTATCTGCATAAGCTTTTACAGACTGTCAGACTAGGTTCTTTTGTTTGCATCTAATCTTCTTCTCTTGCTATTCTTAATAGTGTTTTTAATTAGACCCTTGAGCCTTAGCGTGTGGTTTGGGAATTTCACACAGACCATCCTGGAGAGGTTGCAACAGCCTTCAGCCTTTAAGACAAAGTAGAAAAGGAAGAGAGGCTGGAGCCTGCTCTATTTAGGAGTCTGGGTCAGAAAGGCTGGCATAAGAAGTGGCTTTTCACAGGTGCATTGTGCACAGGGCTTTCGGCCTCTGGTTGTGGAGAAAATGCCTCACCACACACAAGAACTGAGTTTAAAGGGGTACAGGTAACAATTTACATAATGTATTGCCACTTTCAAGTGCTACAAATACATTAACAAATCAATCCTCAAAACACCCCTTTGAGAAAAGTAAAGTATTATAGATTCTATTTTTACAGGTGGTGAAATGGAGACACGGAGAAGTCAAGTGTTTGCCCAGCCCACAGAGGGAATCAGCAGCAGAGCCAGGTTTAGAAATGCCACCCACGCACATCGGCAGGTGGGGGAAATTGATGGGGCTGGTGGTGAAAGGGGAGACAGTCCCCATAGCAAGGGAGGGAGACACTTGCCAAGGGACAATAGGTAGCTCCTCCCATGGGAGTCTCTGTCGCCCACTGGTTAGCTGCGGGAGGGGTGTGCAATCCCCAGCTCCCAGGATTTAGCCCAGTGCCAGAGCCATGTGGAGACTCTTTCGGCTCCGTTTGAGCAGCCCACCCTACCCACCTGAACTAGGAATGAGAACCCAGCCAGGCACAGCCTGTTTAGGGGGGTCAGGAAGGAATTTTTTCTCCTCAAGGCCAAATTGGCAGAGGAGCAGGGAGTATTTTGCCTTTCTTGCAGCACCTGCAAGCTGCAGTGAGCTAAGGAGAAATCCGCATGGTGCCTAACTGAGGCACTGGGGTGGTATTGCTTACATGTCACAACTCACGGCTGGTTTCCACTGCGGTTAAGAAAATAAAATGAATGGTTCCCAGAGGTAAAAGACGTGGGATTTTGGTGATGGGCCTTGTGCTTATGTGGCCTTTGCTGGCCGAGGTCAGACCTTGTGGCCCACGTGGGCTGAGATCCCTGCCTTGCTGTACCCTCTGTCCTCCTCATGGGGTGTGTGTGTGTGCTAGGACTCAGAGAAAGCTGAGTCCTGGGGAGTAGACTGAGGAGAGCTTACCCTGCATTGTGGGTTATATGGTACGGAGCCCTGTAACCCCCTGCACTAGAACCAATTAAATTCCTGGTGTAAGGTTGTATGGGTGATGGGCAGGTAGGGCCCCTCCCTTGTGCTGAAAGTTTAATAAAAGTTGCGGCCTGTCACTTAACTCCATGCATGTGTCTCTCCCCAGTTTGCCTCTGTATCCACATCAATATAGGAATTGTTGGCAACCTGCCCCATGAAGCATCCATGTTGACTAGTATCCTATATATTGGTGAACCCTCAGATAATAGTGTAGGCCAAGTGTAAGGACTACTGAGAATAGCTGAACACTCTCCCTTGAATGGCATATCTGTTAGCACATATGTATTTGATAATATTGTATTACTGAGAGTAGGTTTGTGTGTTCTGGTTTTGTTGTTTGGCTGTTTGGCTTTTTTAAGTCTGATGAGAGAAGCTTTGTATGCTTTGGCTTTATTGTTATTTTCATTTGTTTTCAAGGGCTGGGTCTGTTTTTGTGAGCTTGTCTGTTTGTTTTAAAAGTCTTGTTTGTTCTTCTGATTGATGTTTGAGAGAGCCCTGTGTAATTTACATGTGTCATGAAGGCATCAGGATTTATTGTTCCTTGATTAACTTTCTCCGGCGCTTGGCTGACCATTCCCCAGGAGCTTACTGTCTTTTGGGGAGCATACAGATCTTTGTACCTCTAGGAGATGGTGTTGATTTTTCAAAGACAAACTCTTGGACGTACAGGACAAGATAGTGTATGTGTCATCATAATGCCAAGGGTTATGATAAGATCTTGATATTATAAATATCCTGATTTCCCTTGAGGAGTTAAGTATAATAAAATAATTTTAAATTAAGTTTTTCAGCCATAGACTTTATAGACATGTAAATATGTTATGCAGAGGGCCCTACTTGACTTGCGGGATGATTGTCAAAAAATTGTGGCTTAGTTGCAGACAAGCCATGGAAAATTGTGGAAAAGTAACAATGGACCTTTATTATTTGTGATAGTAAAGTCCATTATTACTTTTCTGCCATTTTCCACTGTCGGCTGCATGGGGCTGAGAGCAGGGGCTCCCTCTGTCAAAATTGTGATGGAAACCTAATATTGCAGAACCCGCAATTTCTGCAAGATCACAAATTAAGTAGGGCCTTAAGTTAGGTCACCCTAACAATTTTAACTTTGCTGACCAGGAAGGGAGAGAAAACAACAATACCCTAATGGGCCTTTAAAAATCAGTTTAATGTAATTTGGGACCACAAACTCTACAATGCCTTAATAGTAACCATATGTTTATTGCAGGGTGTCATAAGAGGGCAGTGTTAATGGAAATGCTACCCATGCCATTACTCAATATGTCTGGATTTCTTTCAAGTTTAACCTTAACTCTGGATATTTTTGTGGGTTGGAGGGAGAGGAAAAGAGGGGAAAGATAATTGCAACATCCCCATAATTGTATGTTACCCAAAATTACTGATAATGGCATCAAACTTAACTCCATCTTGACACAGCTTTGTCAGGGAATATAAAATATGTCCTTCTCTTATACTTCATAATAATCACATGCTACATAAATGATTATAGTGTAACTGAAATTAGAGGGGGAAAAGGTGTACTAAACTGCTCCCCCTCCCACAAGTACAGGATAGACCCCAGTGAGAGGATGTATTGGATAATAAAGGGCTACTATATTTGATCTTAGCCAAAAGGCCAAGAGGTAGATTAACTGGAAGATACTGCCAGGGTCTAGTTGGACAGAAGAATGGGTTTTAAAAAATCTGCAAAACCAGTTTTTACTTTTTCCTTCCTTTACTCCAGTGCTTTTATACAAAATCTTGTCATCATCACCTGAGAAAACACACTCACAGAAGTCACTCTCTAGGCATACCTCCTTCTTTATTCCTCCTTGTTTTCAATCTGCCCCCCTGTCCAAGACAATTCTGAACAGGGATTGATAGGTCACAACAGGTTGTGGGTGTTTTTTTTTTTTCCCCTCTCCAGTTTGCATGTTGAACAGTTTACTTAGCTCACTGAACACACCATCCCTTCCTGAGAACACTGGTGTGATAATGGGAGCAGATAAGGTGTATCTGAAAAACAGGTTTCTCTTTAGAATGAATGGGTGGGGATTATGAAAATGTCAATGATTAGGCAAATGTTTGTCCTTTCTCCTTTCTTCCACTGGGAACTGTTAAAGCTGTGTCAAAGATTTTTAAAGCATGAAAGGTGTTGAGCTAAAAAGGGAAATTCCACCGGAGAGCTTTATCTGTTAGTTTTCTGCTTCTAGATGAGCTTTAGAAAGTGGTTTCTGGGTTTCATGCTTACACAGGTAAGGCTATTTCCTCTCTCTCTCTCTCTCTGTATATATATTATTTAACTATTATAACCTTCTGGTGTAGGGCTATAAAAATGAGTGAGCCTCACAGTAATGTTTTACTACTTTCCCTAACCTCTGTTAAAGCCATGTTTGTCTTATAAATATATTATAGCTATTCCACAGCTGGCAGAAAGGTGATGCCAAGGAAAATAACTTTTGAAGGACCAAATCCTTTGTACACTAAAGTGTGTTATGCATCTAGCGCAGTATGAATGGTGCGACCAACTCACGAGTGATGGGAATGACTGATTCACTAGTGATCTCATATGCTGTCAATTAGTTGTGTCTATGGGAAATTGTTTATTGTTGTTTCTAGCTCAGATCGCTTTGACTGAGAAAACTGCATCACCTAGTGATTAACTAGTGATGCTAGTAGTCAAACACAGAGATTTTTTGACTCTCCAGCAATGCATTATTACTTTTTTATATATAAGGACAAATCCTAAATCAAACCTATCTATTGTACTATTTTTTCTCAGTTTCCATTCAGTCCTCACTCAAGCAAATTCTCATTGACATCAATGGACATTTGACTGAGTGAGGGATGCCCATAATATGGAAGATGTAAGCAAAGTTGATTAGACTATACATATGAAAACAGAATAAAATCCTTGCCCTAAGAATTTGCAATATAAATTCACAGACAGCAGAGTTCTATAGAGTCATTTTCACATGCGGGGCCTGATGCAGTGACATTTACTGCAGTGGGCATCTTTCCATTGACTTCAATAGGCTTTGGATCAGGCCTGTAGTCTCTCAGATAAACTGGGAACGATTTAGGAAAAAATCCTATCTACTTCCTCACTTAAATTCAAAAGGACTTTTGCATATGTAAGATGAGCAGAAGTTTGACCCCTGAGGGGGAAGAGGGAAGGTGCTTGTTAAATATTCACAAGAACAAATCTACCACATAACTGTAGTATTTAACATCTGATTCTGCCACTCTTACTCACATGGAGTAGGGGATTAATCCATAGACTGAATTCTGATAGCCTTATTTAGACTGAAAAGTATCTTGTTCCACATACTCTCATCGAAGCCAGTGGAGCTGCTTGTGGACTAGGGTGCATGGGTAAGATTGTCAGAATCAGACCCGATATGAGTAAGGAAGGCAGAGTCTGAGTGTACATTTCCTGCCTTATTTATTTTGGACACCAATCAAAAATAGTTATATTCACATAGCCAATGCTGATTTTGTACTGGAGATATAAGCCAGTGTTTGCATGTAACAGGGAAGTGGGAATAGACATTGGCAAGGAAATAGAATAGTTTCCAAAAGTTTATTATTATAAATATTAATGAGTGCAAAAATATTTTAAAGTTAAGTTCTACTTTGAAAAGCAGCCCTATAAAAATGACATTGCAGGGTTCTACGTTTATCTCACAGTATTTTCTGGATTAAATCTTTTTTTTCAGTTCTGAGAGTTAAATTGGGTTCTTTCTGTCTCTGACAGTACTAAAAATAAAAATAACAGGCCAAATCTTCAGCTGGTGTAAATGTGTTTAGCTCCAATGAAGTCCATGAAACTACAGTGATTTATACTAGTTGGGAACATGGCTCACTGCATATAGAATTTAGCAAGTGCGTCAATTTCAGAGAGACAAGAATACAGCCTTCCCATAGAGGTGATGCCTCTGCAGGACTAACAGAATTAAAAAGAACCACACATTTTTTGTCACTCAAGTAAGTGGATATATCTCTGAATAGTCACAGGGAACTGATCTACTGGATGAAGGATCTAGACCAAAGTTATTTCAGAGGTGTTGGGGTAACACCTTTTCTCAATGGATTATCCACTCAGACTGACTATTTCATTTAATTAATTTGCCATGCTACTAGAGTTTTAAAAGTTTGTGTTACCGGCTGGTAAATTTGCCATTCAAAAAACAAAACAAAAAGATGCCTGCAGGAGCATTTCAAAATTAATTTCATAGCAGTGGAAAATGGGGAGGAAGGAAAGGACTCTGCTACGGGACTGAAGTATTGGAACTGAAAAGTTTAAAGTATGAGCCCAATAATTTTCAAGCACCTATGTTAGAGGGCCAGGTTCTGCCTTTGCAGACGACAGTCAACACTTGTCAATTTTGCCTGAGGGACATGGAAAAGTTTACCTCAGTATTTGCTATACTTCCCTGCCCTTGCTATAGGGAATACCTGCAACGCTGAAAACACTGGACTAGACATGCCTGCCAGGCCCAGCTGTGAATTGGGGGTGGAAGCTCTGCTGCACTGCTTTGGGGGAGAACGGGGATGTGCTGTGCAATAGGGAACTCCTTGATAGGCAGGGGGAGCTCTTGTCCTGCTGCTGTACCCCTTTATAGAGTCCAGCCTACCTTCCTCTGCTGTCTTGTCCTGATTTATGGGCCAGTGTGAAGGGAAAGGAGGGCCATGTCCTTTTTGCAATGCTGTGTGCCCTGGAAGAATAGCAAGAGAGTAACTCCCCTGAATGCAGTGTCTAATTGTGCAGGCTTTTCTTAGGCCATGCAAGGATAGAGGAAGGGTCTTTGGGTCTGTTCCTTTCCCCATTCTTCCCCACACTGTGTGCTCACCTAGAGGGGTTAGCAGAGGGAAAGTCCTACTGAGGGGAAGTTATCACTAAGGCCGTGGGAGGTGCCTAAAATGTGCACTGGAGTATCTCAAAGTCTTGGTCCTGCAAGGTTCCAAGCGCCTCCTGAAAATGGCACTGAGCATCTCATGAGGGACATTCAAAGCCTCACTGGATCAGGCCCTAAAGTGAATGTTTCAGCAACCAGGTAGATGCTCACATCTGAGAACTGGTCCCCCAATGTAAAGTAAGAGGTCAGCTAAAAAACAAACAATAAAACCCCAACCCTTTTGCAAAGCTTCTCGCTCTTTATTTTCTTGCCGTATTTGCTCAGTAATGCAATAGCAGTTGACTTTAGCTTTCTGCGAATATAGTTGTAAAAACACATGCTGGACTAGGCATGGTGCCAGCTCCCAGGTTTAGAAGAAAATGAAAAGCAAAACACGTGTGGATGGGGAGGAGGAAGAAACATATTGGGTCTGATTCTCCTCTCACTTGCACCAGTATAAACAGGGAGCAAATCCATGGAAGTCATGGGAGCTACACTGGTGTAAAACTGGTTTCTGTGAGAGGAGAATTGGACCCACTCTTTATATACCAAGCAATTCTCTCCTCTCCCCTTTCTAGCTTCTTCCATGTCAAATCTCAGCAGACCTGCTGGGCTGGATGAGAAAACCCAATTGTTGCAGATAGTGATGATCTGGATTCAGTTGTGGTAGTGGGGACTGTGCCTTTAAGGGCTAAGCTTCCCAGACAGAACATCATACAGTAAGTGGCACTCTGCCCCAAGTCAGTATGGAATTAATGCCCTAGCAGGCATTAGGGGTCCTGTTCGCTCTTGGAATGTTCAACAAACTGAAATTCTGCTCTCTGAAGATCCAATGACACATTTCATTCAAGTCAGGATGTCTATGCCTGTTGTCCTGGTCAATTTACAATTCTGGTAATTACATTTTACCTCCCTGAATCTCCCCTGGAGTTTCCCAGGTCCTCATTATCTGTCCTAAATTGTTACTCCTGGGGGAATTCTGTGCCACTGTGCATGCACAGAATTTATGTCGCCTGCAGATTTCTTTGCTTCCCCACAGAAAAATGAGTTTCTGATTGGGAAGCAAAGGGAAGCCACAACAGCGGTCATGTGACCCTCCCCTACAGTATGTTTTGGGTGCCCAGGGCAGCTGGCAGAGAGGTAAATCACTGTGGGGTAGAGGACGGGACTGGGAAAGACCTGGCGGTGGCTCCTATCCTGCACTGGGCTCAGCTGCTAGTCCCAGCTGGACTGGGGAGGACAGGACTCCTCTTTCCCTGCACGGCATCCAGGGCTGGGTCAGACCCACCCCCAGATTTCTCCCCAACTTCAGGAAGCTCTGCAACCAGCGCCTCCTCACCCTGCTTCCTGCACCCATCACTTCTCAGAGGCAGGGGGAGGAATCCCTGTACAGGGAGCTGCTCCCCCATCCACCCAACTTGCATGCATCCAGACCTCCTCATACACAGACCCTCCCACTGAGCCTCACGCCCCCACACTCAGAGCTCCCCCGATAAGCCCCACTCCCCAAGCACCTGGATCACCCTGATGAACCACCTGGATTCCCCACACACACACACACACACTGAGCCCCAACAAGCTGCACCTGGATCCCCACCCTACTAAGCCCTACTCCCTCATCTGGACCCTCCCACTGAGCCCCCCACACCCAGACCCCGCTGCCAAGCTCTATCCCTCTGATACCCAGACCCCACAGCTGAGCCCCAATCACCTTCACCTGGACCCCCCTGCCGAGTCCCATTACTGTTGCACCCAGAACCCCCAAACAAGCCCCTGTGCATCCAGATCCCCTCATACCCACATCCTCCACTGAGCTGCCCACACCCGGATTGCCCCACACAGAACCCTCTCAACCCACACCTGGATCCCCCCACATTAAGCCCTCCACATTTGGATCCTGCCTTGCTTAACCTGCCTGCCCACACTTGGTGCACCTGGCATGGAGGGGCAGGGCCCTGGGGTGTTTCTGGGACAGGCCCGGTCCTTGTACTGTGTCAGGGTTGGGTGCAGACTCACCGCTGAGTCCATGTCCCAGGGGGGAGCTGCACAGTGATCTCCAACCTCTGTACAGTCAGTGGCCTGTGCTCCTCAATGCTAAGCTGGATCCTCCACATGTATTTGACAAATAAAACTTGCAGAATTCTAAAATATTGTGCACAGAATTTTTATTTTTTTTGGTGCAGAATTTTTAACTTTTTGGCACAGAACGCCCTAAGGAGTAAATAATTGTGATGTAGTCTTGCTTTACATTCTGAATCAGCTGTTCTTTTCCCAGGGCTAGATTCTGCATAGCTCTTCTGAGGCTCCAATGGTGTATCTGAGACGGAAGGGAGGAATGCGCCTCCTTTGCCTTGCAT